CTCTCTCTCTCTCTCTCTCTCTCTCTCTCTCTCTCTCCCCTCGCTCTCTCTCCCTCTCCCTCTCCCTCTCCCTCTCCCTCTCTCTCCATTTCTCTCTCCCTCCCCCCCTCTCACTCTCTCTCGCTGTCTCGCCCGACACAACTGCATTCGTGCGTTCCGTCATCATCATCGTTTTCGTGCCAGCTCGTGCTTTAGTGGAACTCGTGTTTTCGCGGCGCCTTGTCGATCCCAGTGTCATCGTTTTTCCGCGACACGCCGCCAAGTGCTCATGTTGACATGTTTTTCACCCGCGAGCGAATACCGTATTACCTGGTATAACGAGAGAGAATTCTGTTTGTGTGGCGGAAAGCCGCAGCGGTCCGCATCGGCGGCTGGAATTGGGGTTGGGGGAGGGGGGGTCGTGGTTGCCCAGGGTAACCAGCTGGCGATTGATGGATAGCATGTGTGCGCGTGGCATGAAATACACAGGTGCGTGTGTGGGTGTGTCTGCGTGCGTGCGTGCGTGTGTGTGTGCGTGCGTACGTGCGTGCGTGCGTGCCCGCGCGCGTGTGTATGTGTGTGTCTGAGCACGTGCGTGCGTGCGTGTGTGTGTCTGAGCGCGTGCGTGCGTGCGTGCGTGCGTGCGTGTGTGTGTATCTGTGTGTGCGTGTGCGTGTGTAGCGTATATGTTATCAACATGTTATCAGCTAGGGGTTAACAATGACAAACTGACAATTTGCCATTATTAACCCCTGATGTTATATACCTATACCTATAATCAAGACCGTATAAAGAAGGATATTATCATCCTGATATTATGCCGGCTGACGTTGCGTAACGAGGGTCTCATGTATTGATTGTCTATTACTATTAGAAGCTGAACGAACAATTACTTTCACACACCATACACATCATTACGTAATCCCACACACGCACGCACGCACGCACGCACGCACGCACGCACGCACGCACGCACGCACGCACACACACGTACACGCACGTACGCACGCGCGCACACACATACACACACATGTACGCGGCATACATGACAATGTGAGCAAAGAATGTGGAAAGCAAAAAATCGGGTCAGTCCGATAGACCTGGATGTCTTCCAGCGGACTGTGTGGTTGCATGACATCCAGAGCGTATAAAGAAGTCTTCTTGATGTCATCAAGCTAACAGACTACACGGGGTGCCAGTTACGCGCGTGTACGCACGCACACACACACGCATACATGTTTGTGATTAATACGGAAGAGACGGTGTGCGTGTGTTATTAGCTAACTGTACGCTTTCGTAGACAAATATGCACATATATATCAATTATATCAGGGGTTAATAATTAAAAATTGCCATTATTAACCCCTGATTATATGCAATTATATGCATAATAGATAATTTTATGGAAATTCTTTTATTATGGACTTGATTATATTAGGAGTGGCTAATAGTAATAGCGGTTACTCTATTATTCACATTATATTGTATGCGACCCGCATATTATTATCAAGAGCGTATAATCAAGATTAGATATAATCAATATATTGATATAGTCCATAATAGAAATTATCTATCGATGATAAATTAATTAATATATTTATATATTAATTTATTAATATTATCTATAGATTATAAGTAGAATCTTCTGTTATGGACTGTTGATATTACCAGGAGTAAGATAATATAGGTTACCGGTAATAATTAGGTTATGAGTTAGAATAATACCTATATTATCTTACTCCTGATATTACGTGTGTATTGCACATCCGCTATGACGCTCGTGGCTGTTTCATTAGTGGACCCCTTGCTGTCTCTCTCTTTCTCACATAGGTAGGCACGCCTACCTATTGTTTATGGTCAGTCCGTACTACGTTACTGTTTGTAATTGGCTAATTCTACCTCTGTCTAGTACAGCGTTATCTTTACACAGCTGGCCTGTATGCCAACCTGGAACAATAGCATTCCTGTATATTTATTTATCTGTCTTTCGACGGTATTACACTCTCTCTCTCTCTCTCTCTCTCTCTCTCTCTCTCTCTCTCTCTCTCTCTCTCTCTCTCTC